CGTCATAACGAGTGACGTGGGTCCGATTGTGGGATGTGGAGTCAGTACAAGTAAGCCAGACCCAATCGCGTTCTGAATCCCATTCCATGCCAGACTCCCGAGCCAGAATAGAGGCTGCCTGATTGGAATCTATGCGGTACTCGAATAGGAGGTGCAGGGTATGTCCCGAGATGAAACGGAGCTCTGGGATGGAAGGCTTCTTCACCATGGGATGTCGCAACGTGTACCAGGCCGCCAGACGCGCTTCCTCCTGCAGCTGCAACCGGCACGCTACGGCGTAAACGCCCAGAGGTTCGCTCTCGAGGAACTTGGGCGAGGCCAGTTCTTTCCTCAGCGCTCTTGTGCCGGTGTCTATCTGGTATTTGATAGCGGCCGCGAGGACTGGCTGTACCTCCGCTGCATTGGCCCAGGTCGGCGGGTCCAGGGGGTAGCAAAGCTGCAAGAGCTTTTCGACCACCTCTCCCGTCTCCTCGGTCATCGGGACGACACGAAGTCCATCCACCACGAGGTCCTTGTCGGCGGATGAATCGCTGCTGGTCTGGCCAACGCTGAACATGTCACGAAACAAGGGCGAAGCGATGGTAAGGATGCTCTTGCGAGCGCGGAAGTCGAATCCATCTGTAGAACGCAAGATGACGTCGGCAGACGTGTCCTCTTGGAAGAGCGGTTCTGTGGAACACACATCGATTGTCAGATGGTTAATACACTTCTTGTGTAAAAGGTTGCATACGAGTCGGATTCCAGGCACCCCCTGCAGGCTCTTGGGTTGGATCTCCGTTGTCAGACATCTCTTATGGTGAGAGGGTCTTTGGGCTCGTCGTGGAGCGAGGAAAGCAGTGATTCATTACGAGGTCAAGTAGGTTTGATGCACGAAGGCAATGCGTACAACGCGTGTAGAAGACATTATATAAGTATAGCTGAGGAAACTCCTTTTATACACATGGACCCACAATGCAGATTCTAAAAATACCTGATGTAATTGCACGCCGGATTTTCTAATGCAAATAATCCTGTGCAAGATCCGTATAATGCACGTACTGTCGGGCGCGGTTCTAGTCCCATGTATCGTTCGTCCTAAACTTCAGCACACAATGCAGCATTTGGATAATTGCCTACCTCTTTCATAGTGGCGAGCCCATCGAACAGCTTGTTCGGATCCTCATAGCAGCATGTGCTAATTTATACGAGAAGTATTCTGCGGACCAGAGTATGTATGAGCCCAGGCTCCTAGAACCATCCGTCTCGCGTCCTCGATCCTCTCTGCTAGGGCGTGCGTGAAGATGTTATCTAATATGGCTTATATAATGTAATTTATTTATAGCTGTGTTTCCTGATTAAGCCGAACGGTGAGGATGAGGACGCTATGAGACGGCTGGCCCAACTCGTCGTCCGAGGTTTCACCGGAATTATGTAAGGTAGCTAAGCGACTAACGACGCGTCGGTTTACCGTTGGTTTATTGATGTTCGTCGACTGCCCGATTCGGATTGAGGCTTGCTCTTCGAGCATGTCCTCTGCTCGTCTGCACATTGAGGGCGGAGGGACAGGGATAAAATCTGACGGTAATATAGCAAGCCATTTCTTAGATAGTGAGATAGTGAAACAATAATACACGAGTGTCTAGGGGTCTGTTGCTATATTTTCGATGAATAGATTAATTTACATACAATGCAAAGTCCAAGCACCAAGTTCTTCATTGCAGAGTAGCCTGAGACCTTTTAATATTGTGTGTGTAGTTAGTCTCCTTTGACTTTGGTATGCAAAGAGAAAGAGAGAGACCAGAGCAGCTTGCCCTATCTAGACTGTTGTGGTAAATAGTCATTCATTGTTTTATTTGTTGAATTGGGATGTTCCCAGTGCAGTTGGTGAACGTGCATGTCATCAATAATACAGATATAGCACTATTCTGATATGGACATCTTTAAGTCCACGACGCCGTCAATGTGCAGACGAGCAGAGGACATGCTCGAAGAGCAAGCCTCAATCCGAATCGGGCAGTCGACGAATGTCAATAAACCAACGGTAAACCGACGCGTCGTTAGTCGCTTAGCTACCTTACATAATTCCGGTGAAACCTCGGACGACGAGTTGGGCCAGCCGTCTCATAGCGTCCTCATCCTCAACGTTCGGCTTAATCAGGAAACACAGCTATAAATAAATTACATTATATAAGCCATATTAGATAACATCTTCACACATGCCCTAGCAGAGAGGATCGAGGACGCGAGACGGATGGTTCTAGGAGCCTGGTATGAGCCGGACAAAGGACATGGAGCGTTCGAGTGGAGGACCTCGTCCCTCCCAACGCGTATCTCCTGCCGACGACCGCCACAATGCCGTCGAACGCCTCCAAGCCTCTGATCCCCACCGATGTCCTGAGAGAGCTCAGGACGGATCCGCTGCTCGACGTCGACAACACCGTCATCACCAGTGC